TCGAACTAATTAAGAAATCCATGAAAAAGTTTCCTGAAGAAATTTTGAAGGATAGTTTCCTGCAGCTGAGCATCTAGCTATGTTTGTAGTTATGATGTTTGACATCGAATGGTTGTTACTTTTTATATATATATTCTCTCTCATATGTTTTCCGAATTGTAGGTGCTTTTAATATAGCTAGTACTAGAAACAAATCAACATACAGAAAGAAAAAAAAACCCATAATAGATCAATTTTTTCCCCGTTTCATTCAACTGACGCATACTGATATTTGATCATCGTTTACTTAAACACATAGCAGAAATTATTGCATGCATACTATATTTAGATTCTATAATAGATGGGTAGACATATATGGAGACTAGACAAGTTTTACTGCCACTAGATATCGAAGTTATATTGAATAACATAAAAAAAAGTCAGAACATTTGCTTTGTACCTCGGAACTTCTCCCTCAATAATGAGCAGTTATAAGGATTTTTTACGTGGGGAGAGTGTGACACGCTTCCAACTTCCAATACGTAGCATTGGGTTTGCTGTATTTATGTTTTTACACATGCAGAAACTGCAAACCGATATAACATGTATCTATACGTAGTATTTGGTTTACCTTATTTATGTTGGCTACTGCCAACCGATAGAACATGTATCTAAAATCATATAAGATAGACCTGTATTTTTCCAGGGTTTTCTTTTATTATAAACTTACCCAACAAAACATAGAACTATACAAGCCACCCACGTTAAGGTACTAGTTTGATAAGATGTAACGGTTATCATCTGTTTCTGACAATTAGTACAGTCATGTTAACTGGAACGGCTTTCATCGGTTGCGAAATAACTGGCTGCGTAACTATAACTGTTGTTGATTGTCCATACCCAGGTTGACCTGAAAGGTCAGTATATTTCATTTTAAGGGTTTTGCCAAATACAGTTAATGTTATCTTTTCCTGGGGTTATTATGAAAACTCTAATATAATAAACGCGATTATGCATAAACAATTTGCTAATTTGGTCTGATCTTTACAGGAAAGCGATGACAAAACATGATATATTTTGAATTTCATAAACATTTTAACACAGGTTTATGTGTTGTGATCTTTCCTGCTCTTGTTATTCACGAATTAAACGATCTGTTAGATAAATACATATACGGTGACCTATAGTTGTTAATTTCTGTGTCATTTGGTCTATTGTGGAGAGTTGTCTCATTGGCATTTATACCACATCTTTTTATATATAATTATAATCACATTTAAGAGGTTTTTGTAACGAGTATATGGTCTATAGGGAAGTCAGATAACCCTTAGATGTCTAACAGCTTATATAAAAAAGAATATGGACCCACAAACCACAATGGGAAGATGATTTGATGATTGTGTTTTATCTGCATATGTTCCAAGTACGCAAACCACGTACACGAGAAGTTCAATGTGAGTACCTTAAAACATCTATTAGCATTAGATTTAAGATTTATTTAGGATGCAAAAACTTAATTTCAACACACATATCAAATATATTGTCAAGAAAACGCGTCCCATCAAAGATTTCACTCAGGAAAATGTTTACTATAGAAATCAGTGAGCTATACAACGCAAACTTGTTGGACCCATACTGGGTTTTTCGTAGATAATTTGATTATTTTTCAGTTTGATATATATATTTTTCGGTATGTCATAGGGATTGTCAATTCATGGGCATCTAACTGTCTTTCTTCTTTTCAGAATGAAGGAATGAAAATCCCAGAACTGAAGGTAAAGTCGAACTTTCTGTAAACAAACCAACTGTCGTGATTTTTTTTATTATATTTAAAATATGTTGTATTTACCTGGATCATGTGGTGATATTGCTGCCATAATTCGAAATTAAGATCTCAACTCAAGAAATAAGTTTTATCCAGTTCCTGCAATATGTAAATGTATTTATCAAGAACCCAAAAGAACACATTGTATACCTTCCTCCCAACATTTGTTATCCAAATAATATTCTATATAAACAAATCATATTCTACAAAGGGTGAAATAATGAAACGTTTCTAATAGATATAAACATGTGAACATATCTCAAATTTTGTTGAAATACCATAGAAATTAAGAAACAACTAATCCTCCCTCAAAATGTTGGAAAGACAAGACCCCGTTGAATAATATAACAGTACATATATATATACTATAGCGATTGGATGCTTCTTTTTTCACTTTCGAAGGGTTGTAAACTAAAGGCTTCAAATATCCCATATCGTTCATTGGTCTATAAACAATGTTAACAATGGCACTCTCCAATCCATTCAACCTATTCATTCTACTTAAAATCGGAAGCAAATACACCGGCCCTTTACATGATTTTTCAGAAATTTTTATTGTTCCATGCATTTCAAATTGATTAGCCTTAAAAATCACTTCTTGCTACAGTGGAAGTGTCCTGATTTTCAGCTGATTGAAATGAAAGAGGTATAAAGATCGAATATAGTATATTCTTCCGACCAAGTCAATTTTAAACTCGATGAAACCAGATGAAGTTTCTGATATTTCCAAATTGACTTAATGGGTGCCTAGTATATGCCGTCATTGCTGCCAAATATGTGACTAAATCGAGTATCATGCCAAATAAAATCTTATGTTTTGTAGAGGGTGTCTTTTCTGCACTCGTGTATAGTTAAAATGCTTTAAATCGTCAGTTTCAAAGGAGAAAAAAATTGAAAACATATCAAATTGAATCATTATCATCCTTTTGCATACATGATTATATAACTGATCACAACGAAATGATACATTTTTTATAAATCATAACTGATAAGTTTGTTTCAGATCAGCAATGTTATTTCAAAGAAAAAGGATTTGTAAATTTAACTTCAAAAAGAGTCATAAGAAACTATCATATAAAAAATTAAATGCCTTTGGTCAGTGACAAACATGATTTAATTCCGTAAAATTTCCGTAAAAAGGCTATTTCGGAAGAAAGTTTGTAACTTACCACTATTCTCTGGTACAAATACTGTTCTGCACTTGTATAAGCGAAAAAGCATACACCTCTACAGTTGAACCCATTCTTATATATATATATATATATATTCAAAAATCAATAACTTTGAATCCATAGTGACACTAACGCCTCTACAATTTTTATATTGGACCCATAGTTACAACACCCCCTCAAAGTCTAGCATTTTTATTTTCTATGCTAATGGTATATACTTTTAAAATGATATTATACTCCAATTTGTGATTTAAAAAAAACTTGTCATATCACTTCCATATTACATACACCTGAGACTACATGGACTATATTTCTATATTATAATTTAATGTCCGTTTTATCATTGAGATCATTATACTTTTTCGTATTTAATGGCCAAAGGTTTTCAATTAGAAAAAAAATGTGTCTCTATTTCTATAGCTTTTACAGGACCAAGGCAGGGCTCGGTGTCTGAGCAAAACATTAATAAGCCAGAGTTTTGTCCAAGAACGTTTCGTCCTTTTCTCAAAATTTCATCGGAAAGTACCAAGACCTTAAAGATAAGTATTCAGTGTCAACTTCACATATAATACATGATGGTATTGAGTTATAGATTCTAGATGTTGAAAGTTGTGATTCATTATATTTATTTTGCAGTTTTCTCTTTATTTGTCTTTGTACTATTATGTTCTTTTTGGTCGCATGACTCTTGACGTTGTTCGGTATTTGTTAATCCAGCATTTGTGTATTGGCTTATCATATTGTAGTATCAACTACAAAAAAGTTATTTTATAGGCGTCTTTGTCACATTCATTTGTATGTTTTTTGTATAGTATACTAATATCTATGATGTTTGTTTACAAATTTTGACTGACTGCTGGGTCCCAATTATTGTCACGTAAAAAATGTATGTCTGCGTGGGTTGCTCACATAATTTTTTCAATATGACGGATATATAAACAACTGTCAAACAAGTGGGAGGTGAAAAAGCTATGAAATCACGTTTAACCCACAATTTTGTCGGAGAATGCCTGTACTAAGTAATGTATTTGACAGTTGTTTTCCATTTATTCCGTTGGTTGATATAGTCGAGCGTTCGATTTCGTCAGGGTTTATGAACAATCCCCCTTTTATAAATTTACCTTGGAGTTCGGTAATTTTGTTAATACATGTTCTTTTTATCAGACGTATTTATTGACTTTTGCTTTCTTTCTTTTTAAATATTTGATTGCGTTTTCGTAAAAATAGTTATGACAGTTTACAGAGTTGACAGTTAAATTTTTAGACTGATCACCACCCACTTTTGAAATTGTTGAAAATTTAAAATCCTGCACGTGTTGAACATCAAATACTAGTAATAGTTCGAGTAAAATAAGCAAGATTGGCTTGTGTTTAAGAAGAGACAAACTTAGCGAGCAGAGAGCTCTCTCTTTTTTATTTCCAATGTTGAACACCAAGTAGTAATTAGAGTATATTAATTTTTATTAAAAAAATATTAGTTCACATACAATGACGGCTAAAACCAACTTTGAAACGTGATAAAATCAACATAGAAAAATAGGTGCTCCAGAAATATTAGGACTTCCCGTCTCTTTCGATACACACATGTTGCCTTGTCAACAATAAACCCAACACAAACCTACAATTAGACATCAACAACCCTACTAATCGTATACTTATAACTGAAATTTATGAATGTACATACAAAAATAACCGTCGTCAGTTATTAACAATGGTACTTTAATTACTTTATTGTAAGTAAAGGGGTTTATTATTACCATTAAATAATAAACCAGGTTTTTTTTATTGATAAACACAATGTAAACAGTTCAAAATATACATTTTATTAAGAAAATAATATATAGTTTTTAAGAAAATAAATTAAATAAGTAACTATAAAAAAATGATAAGATGTAAAATATTTTATAACGAAGAATAAGTTTATCAAAATTTTATACCAGCAAATATTTGTGCGTATTGACTTAATAAGAACAGTAGAAACAGCCAATAAATAACTAAATGATTTGAATAATATCAATATCCACATCTGCCAAATTATCACAGTCTTAATCATATCTTTAACATTTAAAAAAAAAACCAAATAAAAAATAAATAACGCAGCATATCCCAATGATTTTACATCCGGTTGTGCTTCCCTAGAGTGGTTCTACAGTTTGGACAACTGTGTACTGTATCCTTACACGAACTGATGCAGAATGGAATAAAACAACATCCGACATCACATCTGCCAAAAAATAGACAAAAATGTATAAAAATTTCTGCTAACTGTAGCCTATTTTTTTAAATATCATGTTAAGAGTACTAGTAATTTGGATTTTGAAGTTGATCACATTAGGCAAAGCTGATTAAAAGAGTGAAAAGTGTTTTACATTTGTTGCTTAATAAAGTCTAATGTTTGATTTTATCCGTTTTTGGGGACTTTCCCTTTTTGAATTTACCTTGGAGTTCGGCATTTTTTGTTAATACTTTTTTTTTACATTAAAGCTTGATATCGAATTGTTTTCATTCTTATTTTTTATAAGAAACCGTTGTTAATATTAGGCGCTAGAGGGGTCTTGAATAATAGAAAGCGTTTCCGATATAAATTTTGAACATCTGATCGCTAGATGAAGGAGATTAAATTTAGTGTTTTATAACAATATCTTGACCTTTACTCCACGCATGCTGTTCCTTATATTCATTGAAAAACATTTGGAATTTGATGCGACTGTCATACAAGTGAGAGGTTTAGCTAGCTTTAAAACCAGGTTTAATCCACCATTTTCTACATAAGAAAATGCCTGTACCAAGTCAGGAATATGACAGTTGTTATCCATTCGTTTGATGTGTTTGAGCTTTTGATTTTGCCATTTGATTAGGGACTTAACTTTCCTTTTTGAATTTTCCTCGGAGTTCAGTATTTTTGTGATTTTACTTTTTTTGAAGATAAAAATATAATTTTTTTTTCACATTTTGTCTTTTTCAATCGAATTTAACTTTTCATGAAAATATATTCGGACTAAATCCCGATAGTGGTTAGTAGTTCTGTTTTTGCTTGTACAAATTTGATTTATTTACTACCTGTCATTGTTTTAAAATATATGTATGGATAGAAAGAATGCCTAGTAGCAAATATGGCCGAGTACAAATTATATCGGCACCAATTACGTAGGTTTAAAATAGATGGTAGGCAGCTCGATTTAACTGCCCCTAGTCTCTGAAGGTATGCTGGATAAGGTCAGAGAGTTAGAAAGTTTCATTGCAACAGGAAACTACTTCTACACGAACGAGGTTTTTGTAAGGGTTCGTTTATGCAGAGATAATTTGACCTCATCTTCCTCTATAAAACCAGGTTTAACCCACTATTTTCTTTGGAAAATGCCTGTATCAAGGTCAGGAATATGACAATTGTTTTTCACTTGTTCCGTTGATTGATAGTGTTTGATTTTGTCAGTTTTTATGGACTAAACCTTTTTGAATTTTCCTAGGAGTTTTTTCCAATACGTGGCATCGGTTTGACAAAATCTATGTATTTTGTAGACGCTACTGTCGACCGGTAGATACCTGTATCTTTCTAGCACCACATTTGTCTTTTCATAAGAAACTTACCCAACAAGACATAGAACTAGACAGGCGACCCACGTTAATGTACCAGTTTGATAAGTTGTGCTGGTTATTATCTGTTTCTGACAATTTGGACAGGTCATACCAACTGGCGTCTCTCTCATCGGTTGTGACATCATCGGTTGTGTTACGATAACTGTTGTTGGTTGTCCATATCCAGGATTACCTAGAGTGTGATGTTGAATTATGTAAACACATTTAAGATGTAGATTTGTTAGCTAGTCAATTTACGTGACAGGCTAATTTTAAACGTTTGAAAACTCGATTACAGTAACAGAAAACTATGGTCCTAAACGGAATGGAAAGCCTTTTTCAGGTCTTTCAGAATTATTTTGATTATGTATTTGCTGTTTTTTTTTTATCAACTTATCCTTTATATCAGTTTTTTTATATAAATCTTTATGTTTTAACAGCATTTATATTCATTTTCATCGGTTGTCGATTTTAAGAATAACACGTAATATAAATACGCACTCCTAAACAAATTTTACTTTTTTATCTTTAGATAAGTTGTTCCCTTACTTTTCTGCTAAAAACAAAATAATAAACCAACCAAACAAACAAACAAGCTCTAACCAACCAAACAAACAAGAGATACCCAACCAACCAAACAAACAAAACAAAAATACAAGAAAAAACTTTCAGTTTCATATTGATGTTTACGCATGCACTGACGAAATGTTCATCTTTCGAAGAGTACAAAATACCACGTATACCGTTGAAACAACAAAATAAAATACAACGAAAAGCATCTTATAATGCAAAACCAACAATTCATTTCATTACATGTCACTCAGTGTTAAATGATGCCACACTGGTTCATATTGAGCCTTATGCAAAACATCAGAAACATCTTACAAACGTATACCATGTAGTATAACGAAATCCGAGTTCTATATTTTAATTAGATTGAAATAATTACATTACTTAAGTATTGAGTCTTTTTTTGGTTCGTCGTATATTTATACCTATTAGATGACACTCTCACCATGGCACGAAGTAATTAATTTATTAATTTCTGATCAATTTTAATAAATGCAAAGAAAATTTCCGAAACATCCTGTAAACAGCCAGGCTAATTGCTGCCGGATTTCATGAGATTGAATCGGTTTGGTATGGCCATTCTAAAAATTGGGCATAATTCCATGTGAGCAATAAATGCTCTTCCGATGCTTTATAAACAAGCGGCTGTCTTCATTAATACCCAATCGACAATCCTCGGGTGAATCCGCTATTTTCCTTCTATCATTTTAGATGGAGCAACGGAATCGACCGAGTTTAGACGAGTGCAATTATACCTACCATCAAAACTGTATATAAAGAGAATTACTAAAATCATATTTACCTGGTTGATATGGTGCCGGAGGTGGGAGTTGACCATATCCTGGTTGACCACCTGGTTGACCATCTGGTTGACCATATCCTGGTTGACCCCCTGGTTGACCCCCTGGTTGACCATATCCTGGTTGATTACCTGGGGGTAAAGATAAATTTGTCATGAAGCCTCATTGAAATATCCAATCGCACAGGCTTATTTAAATTGTGTTTGTAAACGAATTAGTCTCAGTAGTAGTGAGGACTTTACTCGGAAATAGACAAAGAGTGTGTTGTTGTGTTTCATTGTGGTAGTTCTTGGATATAACGGTCTCCAATGATGAACCAAATTTCACACTCTTTTCAGCAATACCACGCAGCTCATTATCGTAGTGTATGTTACCGATGATCTCTGAGTCTTTATTATAACTATATTTTCTATTTTTGTTGTTTTACATTTTTTTATCTGATGGGCATATGTCAAAATATGCAAATGTCTTATTTTTGAGTAGATGTTATGATTAAGTGAACAAAGTCGATAAAAAGTAATGGCAAATGACAATATATTCCACTACAATGTATGTGTAAGATTTTACATACGAATTGGTTTATATTGAATTTCAATTATATATTACGTGTTGTAGCAACAACAACAAAAAAAAAAAAAAAACAAACAAACAAACAAAATCGGGTATATCCATTTTTTTTATTGTAGTAGAAAAGATAATACCTAATTTTATAACGGTCTTACTGTGACTTGACTGTTAGTGTTGCTCTCCATCTATTGCAACTTATTCAAAATTCTGACCAAATTGCAATTTGTTTTATAAAACCAAACTGTTCAGAAATTTGAACAAACTGCTGTAGAAAACCACAGTCCAGTTCCACTTCAATGTTATTATGAAAAATCAGTCTAACAGTTTGTATAGAAATTGTATTGTAATTGTCATGCTAAAGGTGATAGGTAGTAATTTTGAATTGCTATAAAAATGTCCAAACTAAGCTTTCATACAATTTTTCTTTTGAAAAACTCTTCTATATTCATAAGAATCAGACATCATTTGTATTAAAACATTTTATATTCAATAAAATATGTGTGAAATTACGATAGGAAGTTTCCACATAATCAATTTTTCTTTCGAAAAGTCTTCTTTATTCAAAATAATAATGTTTAAGGCTATCTCCCATGGAAACTTATTAACAACGTATTGTAATTTCACATATATTTTACTGATTATAAGATGTTTTAATTCAAATGATGTCGGATTCTTATGAATATAGAAGACTTTTCGAAAGAAAAATTGTATGAAAGCTTAGTTTGGACATTTTTATAGCAAAAAGGGGGGGGGGGGGGGGGGTTCTGCCTTTTTTTTTTATTAGTTTATCCTGACTTTTTTTACATAAATTGTCATCCTGCATTTTTTTTCTGCCCAAGTTGCTCATCCTGCCTTTTTTTTACTCAAAACTCCTGTCCTGCCTTTTTTTCAAATTTCATCCTAGCCCCCCCCCCCCCCCCCCCTAAAAATCAAATGGTAGCTCCCTAATATACATTTTTACTCCGGGTACTATGATGAATAGGACATACGATGTTGTGCTATATAGATTTAACTATATAAATTGTTCAACAAATAAATGATAGTTTAAACATTAGTTATTCCAATAGAACACATATTTGATACAAACAGTTTAATTTCGTCCACGCCTTCAAATTTTCGACCTGTGTCCTTAACCCAAAACATCTGGTATCGACCTATTTTCATGGTGGACCTTTCTATCGAAGCTTTATGTTTCCAGACTAAATGCCGTTTATCATAACTCTATTTTCCCAAACTCCATTTTCATAGTTTAAAATACGAATTAACAATATATTTGATGAAAATTGTTATAATGAAATACAAAAAAGAAATTATAAAACGATTCATTTACACTTTTATTACACGAATGCTTTACGAATCCATTCCAGTAATTACGATTATGCATAGCAAATTATTATAACCAATACTAACGAATTGTTTTAATAGATCTTTCAAATTAAAATCCACTTAATTTAAAAATAAGATCCTTGAAATTAACAAACAATGATGAAATTAATTTGTTATATGAACATACAATTTTCAGTAAACATTGAAAGCATTCGCAGCATAATGTAAACAAAAGTGTATCATAACGACGGTGGAGTTTCTTTTAATAGTACAAATAAAAATGTCAGTCGTGGTTTAAATTCAATAGAAAACAGTATAATCATTGATGATCAGTTGCGAGTCATAATGTCATGAATTGATCTGTAAAATAATAAATATGTTGATAGATCACCATGGTTGCACAACAAACGCGACATACTAGATTGATCATGTGCAAAATTATAGTTTTATAGTTGATGTGTCTCCCTCGGTTTTAGTTTGTAACCCGGATTTGTTTTCTCTTAATCGATTTATGACTTTTGAACAGCGGTATACTACTGTTGCCTTTATTTATTCAATATTTAGCATAATGTTGATATACAATCAACCTTATACAAATACCTTTGCGATCAACGTTGTTCATTGGTTTCCAGACTTTAGTACAAATGAGCGTAAATGTCATATCTAAGAAAATACCTTTTTGGTATCAACAGCGAAAAAATAATATCATTCTGATAAACAATAGATAACTATGAACAAGTTTATATTTTGGATTTACTAAAACTTATCTAAGCGATATTTCTTGGTTCTTCCCGTTCCTTCTCTTTACAGGTTAATATGACCTGCTAGATTGATACGAATAATCGTTATCACATGTCAGATGTATTATAGCCGCAATAACAATGTCGTACGGACTAGTTAATGGCTCAAAGTCACATAACGGACAAGAAAATGATGTAGCGAATGCCTTACATTATCTAGCATCAATTGGCAAAGTTGACAAAGATGCAAAAAGCTTAAATTGAATACACGTATCGTGTAATCTGCAAATAAATCCAGTCCCAGCAAAGGTTTCTGAGAGAAAAGTATACTTTGTATTAGACAGACCCAGGATATATGCTGCACACTTACAGCTTAGAACCGAATATAAGAAAAACATGTTACAAATACACAGACAGAATCGTTAGTTCGCCATTTCGTCCCCGAGGGTATCACCAGCCCAGTAGTCAGCACTTCGTTGTTGACATAATATCAGTTATATGGTCATTTTTATAAATTAACTGTTTGCAAAAGTATGAATTATTCGAAATACTAAGGATTTTCTTATCCCAGGCATAGATTAGTAATACCTTAGCCGTATTTGGCACAACTTTTTGGAATTTTGGGTCCTCAATGCTCTTCAACTTTATACTTGTTTGGCTTTCTAACTATTTTGATCTGAGCGTCACTGATGAGTCTTATGTAGACGAAACGCGCGTCTGGCGTATCAAATTATAAGCCTGGTACCTTTTTAAATTACTGGTAACTATTTACAGTGAGGTTCTTTCATTGTAGAAAATTCATAATTATATGATTATTTATTATTGAAATGTATAATAATCACGTCAGCTTCATAGAAAATGACCTCAAAATTGGTGTACCTATTGTATGGCAATGAATAGCAGTGCAATAGACACTGTAACTGACATCTTGACCTCGAATTGGGATGTGATTATTGTGTTGTCAGTGTAGAAGGGAAATAAAATGGTTTAATTGCTTGTAAATTTTAAACTGTTTCGAGGTTGCTTGCGTGCCTAATCACCATTACGACTGCAAAATGAAAAATACGGTATAGGTTACTAGAAAATGTTAGTATCATTCTGTAGCCTTTCTCCGAAAAAAAAGTATCACAAGACTGGAAAGGATTCAAAGAGTATCTGCAAGATTTGTTTTAGGTCACTATCACTGAATAAAAACACACAAATATAACGACCACCGATACCACCCTAAATTACAGGACACAAAAAAAGAGAAGGATCCAATCATTATGAGATTGCCAATAACATTAATTATCAGCATCCATCGACATATCGTGTACACACAGAAGTAAGCAGATGAGATGAGAACCTAATGTTTCTTTTTCCATATGCAAGGACCTCACTAAAATGGCGGGAAACTTTTTATCAGTAAACCAACTTTCAGCACAGTTATCTATAAAAAATATATATGCTTATTTACCTGGATTGTTATAAGGTGGTGGTGGAGCTGCCATATTTCCAAATAAATAAAACCTTTATCCAACTTTATCCAATTCCTATAATATGTTAAAGTATTAATGGAGAATCCATATATATATTATTAATTTCATTACCAAGTCTAAATTGAAAACAACGTTCAAACCTATGATTGCGTTGGATAAAAACCGCAATTTTTATACGTGTGCACGCAAAACAAATTTCTTGGTAGAGGGGTCTAAATACAGCACAAACAACATTTTCCAAAAGACCAAATGAGTGAAAAAGTATATTATAACAAAACGCATTTGACTAGCAGGTCGAACAACTGATGTTCTTAAACCCTGCTGACTGCCATTGGCGATTGCCAAATAAACGGATCACAAGATGAAACAAAATAGATCTTAAATGATATATATATAAATGATACTATGTGCAGAAATGTCATTGGTAATGTCTCGGTGCGTCACAAAATATATAACAAAAATGCATTTTGAATAGTTTAATGTCAAAATAGTAAAACTAAGCATGAACATGAATTTCCCTTTGGTATCCTTGTTCTAGGCATCTTGTGGCAAAATATCTTTCTAGGTAAAAATGTTGCTCATTTGTGCAAATATTAATCGGATGATATCAACAGAGTCAAATTTGACATTTTGCATTTTCATTGAAAGAAGGAAATATGAATGCCAGAATAAAAATAAAATGTTAGACAAAATACAATAGTATCGAAAATGATATCCCGCAGACAACTCCTTAATGTTTTCATGTTTTATAAACATACGAAGAAAAATCCAGCTTTCGTCATAAAAAGAAAAAATGAAACAACACTTGAAACCTTTCATTTTTGGTTCTGTTATTTTTTGTTCACACCGAAAATCATGAACAAATATCACAAGAAGAAACAGATAAGCACCTGGTGTTTGTTTGTCAAATTACTGTGTTAACAAAAAAACAGGAATCTTTTTGATATTTTTGTTTTGAAATCATATGAACAGAAATCAAAGCACAAAGATATTTGTAGTCTTGCATTATTATACCTTTTTTGTATTCAAAAGGTTTTATTTGTGCACGAAAAAGAATAGTATTGTATTATTTTGATCTTATGTTTTTGCTAAATTGATAGAAATATATCTCCCTTATATCATCTTATTTGACAGAGGACCTCTGGCAATCAACCAATTGTAGTATGCGAAGATTGAAATACACCTTCTTTTATCTGTCATCCACTCTGGTATATTTTTAATGGAAAATAATGGACGTATTTAACCGCGGTTTTTTCTCCACGTAATGATATCTTCGAATGGCAGTATAAAAAAATCAAACAAAATAAAAAACAAGTCAATAATTTTTTATCAAATCCAACATGAATTCTGCCAAAAAAATATGAACTACCAGAACTATAAGTACTGTTTCTACTTACGTGTACACGAACTATAGTTTAATGACTGAAAATCCACAATTTATTTTCAAAAATAGATATTGGAAAAGTGTAATCATCACTACATGGAAACCAGTCAGGTGTGAACTAATAGCATTTTAATATGACCGATTTTTTCTTTGCCGATACTGAATTAAAGTGTTCAAACATCTTTTGTGTTTATTGATCCATTTGATAAGCAACTATACGTGGAAATAAGATTTGTTCTGGTACTGACGTATATTGAATATATAAATATCTTCTCATGACAATTTATTAAGTGCGAATATATTTCAACACACTGAACATAGTTCGGGTATTAAAAATACCCGAGAAGATTAAGAAACAAAATGTCCTCAAACTTAAACTATCTGACCGAAAAAACCCTGACGAATGAAATATAGAAAAACCGTGACAGAAAAAAATCACAAAACAGAATCTTATTTATTGAGTTCTTCTTTATCTTAGGTTCATTTTCTTTGTAAATGTAACAGGAGGGGGTCGGTGACGACACCTCCCGGGACGTGTAGTGGCTAGTACTTCGTCCCTATTCTATCCTCGGGATACCTGATATCAGATTTTGGCAGATTAGAGACACAAATCAAATAGATCTCAACAATTTATTTACAAATGTACAAAATTCAATTAGAACAGTCAAATGAAATGGAAAAGAAAAGTATTTCAGGTCAAATGAATGAAAATGAAATAGTTATTCAAATCAAAAACTTAGATAAAAAAGTAACTGTATACTTCGCGTTGTGTTTTAGAATTTAGAAAATCGTATTAAAATAATGCCTATGTAGATGCTGTTGAATAACTCGAGTGGAATGATTCATTCCGGCGAGCTGGTATATAGAGAAAGGTGGCAGTGCTACACTGCCGGCTCGTATATACAATGTGGGGAGTGGTTTTCACCCCGCCGTAGCAACTCCTGATCAAGTGATAAGGAAAATGCTATTAATTTCAAAGATATAAATAAAAATATGGTATTGAAGAAAACTTGAATGAATTAATATTCATCAAATATATAAAGTAATATGAAATTTAAATACTTTTATAGTTAAATTATTAAATTCAATTCAATATTTTATTTACGTCTCACCTTATGCATAAAATTACACAATACATTTATAAAAGATACATTTTGTATACATAAGCCAATCTATACAGATTTATGAGAGACGATAATCTCTAAAACAATATGTATGTACATAATAAATATTAAACATGAATGGTAAAATTATACAACATAATTATTCAATTATTATTAAAGCTACTTTGTATTTTAGCCTGTCTAGATCAAATTAAACATAAAATAAACATTTAATTAAGAAAATACTAATCTGAAACAATTAAAGGGAGACTACCTAAACCACATTCATTACAGTAAGAGAGAGGCTGTTCCGCTTATTTAAATATATGAACAGTGTTAACAATTGTTCATTTGCAATCTATTTAACCTGTTCAATATCATTAAGCTCGTAAGCAAAAATAGCCCAACCCTTTACAGGATTTGTCAGGAAAAATGTCGCTTCTGGCTACAGAAACTGACATACTTTCGGCTGATTGGAAGAAAAAGGAAAATAAGTACTCCATCTAGTAAATTTGTTATGTTAAGTTAAGTTTATGCTTCTAGGTGAGCTTTTCTATATTCTAATTTGGCTCAAAGGCACCTAGCATGTGATATTATTGATGCAATGCATGTGAGTCAATCAATCATCATACACGAATACAATATTATGCTTGGCTATGAGTGTCCTACTCAACACTCCTATACATTTTGCAACAAATAAGACTTTCAAAGGAAATGAAATTTCATCAATTATATTTGATTATTGCTTTTAGAGGCTACGCTCTTTAATAGATCAAGACGAAATGAGATTTCTTTTTTTAAAAGACAGCCCATAAATTAAAAAAAAACTGAAACTTATCTTCATTCGATGCATGAAATCCGCATTTATTCTCATTTTCTTGAAATATGTGCATATCAAGATGGAAATATGAATATGTTATAACAACGTAAAGCATGTCTTAATTGTTTGAATTTCTTGCTATCTTGTAATTCCCTTTATTATGAGCAAATTTAAAGCAGTTCCCAAAATCTTCATTTCCTTGCTCCATAATGGGCCTAAACGTCCATTCTTCTTTCATGGTGTTATAAACTAAGACTCACCTGTATCTATTTACAATTTTAACAATGAAAAATTTCCAATTTTCAATTAAACCTACTTAATCTCATAAATTTAGGAAGCAAGTAGCACAGCTATTTACAAGATTAGAAAAATCATTGAATATGAAAATTGATTTGAATTAAAGAATACTTCGTGTGATAGTGGGAGTGTTCCCGGTTTTTTTGGCTGATTTGAAGAAGGAAAAAGATATGGATCCATTATAATAATAGCCCGTTCTTATTACCAAGTCTAGTTAACTATTGCTAGGAGTAGTTTCTAATATTTTCCAATATGGCTTAATTGGAACCTAGTATTTGACATCAATCATCATACACCAATATAAATATTATCCTAGCTAACACCCTGCAAATTTAAAAAAAAAAGAAAGATTTAGACTTTCAGAGGAGATGACATCTTATAGGTTAGATTTAATTCATAAATTACAATTTGTATATCGAGGATGTCCTTATCATAACTTCTACGCATAACATCGATATCCGCATTTGTCTTCATTTCATTAAATATGCACATGAGACGTAAAAACATAGTAAAGATTGTCGTATTGATTTAAATTTCATTCTTTCATGCATTTTTATTTATTATGAGCAAATGTGAAGTAGTTCTAAAAAAATTCCTATTGGCCTAGCAGACCTTTAGTCTTAGATGCATGACATTTTTATTAGTTGTTATTGGCTTTGAACTAGCTGTCAGCAACTGCGAATACTCGGCTCAAATCTGTACTTAGTGTTTTTTTGTTATGGGGATGTATAAGTATCCTGCCACGTCCATTCTGTGTTTTTGTTAGATGTATTTCTATTTGTATCCATCAGATGAGTTAAGCCTTTTTCAACTGATTTTTATAGTTTGTTCTTATGTTGTACTGGTACACCACTATTCCAGGTCAGGGGAGGGTTGTTGCTTTCAAACTAGTTTAACTCCGCCACATTCTGTATGTGCCTGTCCCAAGTCAAGAGCCTGTAATTCAATGGTTGTCGTTTGTTGCTCTGTAACATAACTGATTTTCGTTTATTATTTTGTAAGTTAGTTAGGCCGTTAGTTGTCTCGTTTGAATTGTTTTACATTTGTCATTTCGGGGGCCTTTTATAGCTGACTATATGGTATGGGCTTTGCTCATTGTTGAATACCGTCCGCTGACCTATAGTTGTTAATTTCTGTGTCATTTGGTCTCATGTGGAGAGTTTTCTCATTGGCAATGATACCACATCTTCTTATTTTTATACTTAATGTCCATTTACTTTCATAGCTTTGTTAACTAACGCCCACCTGGACCTATCCACAATGTTTACAATGACAATTATTTTATTATTTTTAACCTACTAAATCTACCTAATTTGGGAAGCAAATTGTATCGCTATTTACAAGATTTAAAAAAAAACCACTTGCATTAAGAAATTGGTTAGAATTGAAGATTACTTCTGGCTACAGTGGGAGTATAATATTTTTAAGCTGACTGGAATGAGAGAGAAAATATAAAGATCCCATAAGGCATACTATTCTTACGAATTCAAGTATACAGTTGCTAGGTGAAGGTTCTTATATTTTCAAAATAGCTAAATAAGAACCTAGTATGTGACATTATTGCTGCCATCTATGTGACTCACTCAATCGTCATGTATAAATAAAAATCGTAGCCTTTGATAATAGTTTCTAATAAAAATGTATGTAATGTTTTGCAAGATCATCAGTTAGAATTGCAAAATCGAATATTGTTTAAAATTACTGGTACTAAGTATTCGAATATCAAAAGTCTTTATCATATTCTTGTGTGAATTATCAACAATTTTGAATATTTCAATTAATTGAAAATGTTATTCAGTCATACATATTACTGTTGAAGACACTATAGCAAATGCAAATGCGATAACAACGACGATTCTACATCATAACATGTATAAGGGATAATTATGCTAAAAATATCTTTTTGGGGCCCTTTATAGCTTGCTGTTCGGTGTGAGCCAAGGCTCCGTGTTGAAGGCCGTACTTTGACCTATAATTGTTTACGTATTACACATTGTGACTTGGATGGATAGTTGTCTCATTGGCACTCATACCACATCTTCTTATTTATAGGTAGATTTTGGTAGTGTAAACAATACTCGGAAAAAATAAGCAAACTATCTACAGTAAAATTTCTTGTCATAATTGATTTCTATAGGGGCCATTTCCCTATATTTCCTTTCAGATAAAAGAACATTGCAAACTATCTTAATCTGTTGAGTTCACTGGTATTGTTATAAAGTCTGTTGAACTGAACTGTGGTAGAGCAACGTCGGATTCTCGCTTCAGATCATGAGAAAAATGTGGATATTTATTCTCATGTTGATGCGACAATCAATACTTAGTTTCCTAGTAGTCAGCACTTCTGTGCTGACATAAATTATCATTGATATGGTCATAATTATAAATGAAGTGTTTACAAAACTTTAAAATTTTCGAAACACTAAGGGCTTTCTGTCCCAGGAATAGATAACTTAGCTGTATTTGGCAAAACCTTTCGGAATTTTGGGTCCCTAATGCTCTTCAACTTCGTACTTTATTCTTGTCCTTTTTACTTTTTGATTCCAGCGACACTAATGAGTCTTTTGTAGACGAAACGCGCGTCTGGCGTCCAAAATTTTAATCCAAGTATCTATGTGTGTATTGGTTATACCGAAGTGACCTTAAAAGCGACGACCAGATATTTCATATAAAACCAATTTACTACAGTTTTCGCGGATCAACGCTTTTCCATTGTATATATCCTAATACGTACTAATGCCGTTAGTTATTTTATAGTGTTTCTTTTCAAAGTCAGTAGACTGAATCATCACGTTATAAATGTATTGATTTGAAAAAGCTATTTATATCACAACGCAATCATTATTATAATGGCAGCCACTTCCAACTGTAAACAGTTGACAGCCAGTGAGAAGCAGAAAAATGGATCACACACAGTTAACGAAAAGAAACCGAATGTCGACATTTTTGTATTGTATGACGAAG